TCAGTTGTGTATCTGGGACTGGAACTGTAATTGGATAATTCACTACATATTCAGACATCTTTTTTATTATTCAAAAGCATTTTCAAAATAAAGTGAGTTACTAACGTGGCCTTTTCCATCCCACTACATTACAAAATGATAGTTTTTAACAGTTTAAACTTCTCCCATGTATCTTCATATGCTGTCTTCTTAACTCCCTTTTAAGATAATGTTCCTAAAACTTTCTGAATAGCTTGGTCTATTATAGTTACATTTTCAGAATCAGTACATTAATGATGGGTTGAGATAATGATATGCATTTAAGAGACTATGGGAATCAATTTTGAAGATACATTTTCTTAAAAATAGAAAATATATGTGAAATGTGTATATGAATGTTGATAACATGTATTATGCTAAAGACACAACCATCAGGCTTAATGAACATACCTGTCTAAGGTGGACATGCTCAAGTCAATGGGGAGAGGCCTCCTGAACACAGGCATTCAGAGAGGGGACCCATGGGAGCTGCTTTCTTAAAGGAGAAGTTCCTGCAGGAGGAACACCTTCCCCAAAAGACTTCTTTGAAAAGGTGTGTACTTGGGAAAGTAAAGTATAAATTCAACCACCATGTGACGTGATTAGGCCCCTCACGCCATGAAGCATATGGGGAACTCTTAGATGTGGCTTCAAGTCTTTAATTATGTTCAAAGTCTGACCCATCAGACTTATATGTCTCCTACTGACCAGTTTGTGCCAATTAGAGCCAACATTTTTCTAGAAAGTTGATGAGGAAAATCATTGAGGAAAACTACACACAAAGATAAAATTTTCTTTAATTTTTTATTTTTATTGATTTCAGAGAGGAAGGGAGAGGGGAAAATAAAAACATCAATGATGAGAGAATCATTGAGATGAGAGAGAATCATCGATCTGCTGCCTCCTGCATACCCACTACTGGGGATGGAGCCCACAACCTGGGCATTGTCCCTCACCAGAATCTAACCCAGGACCCTTCAGTCCACAGGCCGATGCTCTATTCACTGAGCCAAACCGGCTAGGGCCAAAGGTAAACTTTCAATAGTATATTGAATAAATTGCTTCGGACCTCTTTAAAATAAATTCCAGAATCCTTTCTGGAAAGTTCAAAAATGTTTTCATTTTCTCATGGATGTCAGACCTAATGGCTTCTACTGAAAAGTGACCTTTCCACCCACCTTCTTGTGTGGTGTGCATGAACAGTGCACAGGAATTATCCAAGGTTGGGCACTTTATTGGTTAAAGATCAAATACATTTTTTTTTATTTTTTAAAGATATATTTTATTGATTTTTTACAGAGAGGAAGGGAGAGAGATAGAGAGTTAGAAACATCGATGAGAGAGAAACATCGATCAGCTGCCTCCTGCACATCTCCTACTGGGGATGTGCCCGCAACCCAGGTACATGCCCTTGACCGGAATCGAACCTGGGACCTTTCAGTCCGCAGGCCGACGCTCTATCCACCGAGCCAAACCGGTTTCGGCAGATCAAATACATTTTTTAACGCATGCATGTATGCATCGATTCAGACAAGGAATCAATCTAGACCTAAGGCAGTGGCAAATCTCGCTGTGCGTATGAATGTTTGCATGATGATGGAGGTGAGTAGATATAGGGAAAAAAGAATATATTTTCAGAAATGGTCATTATAATTCTTCAGTCATAAAGTGGAATTTTTACAAATAAAAATGGACAGACTACTGCTCTGTAGCTCATTATGGTAGTACTGATTCAAATGAAGCAGAAGCTAGAACCATATCAGAGAGCCTGGCTCTGCATCCTCTCTAGGACCCCTCCTTCTCGCCCCCATCCCCCACTCCCCACCCCCCTGCCAGCTTTATGCTCTGTCTTCCCCACCCCTGCCAGCTTTATGCTCTGTCTTTTATGAGAATAGAGATTATCAACTCCTCATATCTTCACTGATTCCAAGTTTACATTGTGAAAAAATCTTAGTCATAAGGCATTAGAGCAACTGATTGCATACATTTGTGGTGATACTAAAATCCCATTTAAGCCAGACTTCAAACCTTTGTTAGCCTTCCCAGAACCTATGTGGTGCATGTACTCAAAACTTGTTCACCAATAACATATTGATGGATATTCCAATAGGTCATAATCATTAACATAAATGGTTATTTTCTTGTTGTTTTTCATCTTCCACTTAAAAGAGTATTAAGTTCTATTTTCCAAATAAATTCAGCCCTGCAAGATGAACTTTATATCAGAATAGTCAAAGAATATATCAAACATTTTATTATATTGATACTTATTTTAAAGCCTAAGTAGAACAGTTAAAACAGCATTATAACCACCTCCTGAATTAAATTATGCCTTCTACAATAGTTATAAATTATACGAGGGTT